CTCATTACAATAATACCTGGACTTTTATTTAAGACCAAACTGCCTTATTTTATCTGCGATCTTTATTAGGTTTTCACTTTAAGGTCGGCCGTAATCTAAGAATTAAAGGATCTTATATACGTCATAAGTCTTCCCGAGGCTACTAATCAACAAACGTATATTACCAAAAAGGTATAATCCCCAAGTGAGAACAAGGTTGGCAAATCCATTAGCCACTTGAGAAAAAGGAAAAGGTAACCACTTCCGATCATAGGCCACCCTTTTCGAGGCTCGGTAATAGTTCGTTAACGTGACGCCGGGCGTTAGGATCGCGTGTGGATTCCCTCTCGATCCAGCAGACGGGAAATTGAGTTTTCAACCTCAACGACAGTCGATCAGCAGAGAGCTGTGACTGTCGCCGACTGAGAGCGGTGTCCTTGCTAAGTTTAACCAAGCAGTCAGAGGTAACTCGGTAAAGTCGGAATGAAGATCATGGAATTCTCACCCACTGCTAAAGGCATTACATCCCACGCTCCAGTCTATTAGGTTGCACTCTATCCGATATCGTCGCATCTAACTTAAATCAATGTTATTGACTTATCTGATGAAAGCGAACCTTCTACAGGCTCGGGGATCTGAGCGAAAAGGTTTATGGAATTAAATAAAATTTAAAAAATTGTTTGAAATAGAAGATAGCTCTTAGCCTGATCGAATCAATTGTACTCCCCTCTAAATATTCCCAGAAGACAAAATATGTCCTTTGAGAAAAAACGAACAAACAACAATGCTGAACTGAAGTAGGAAATTAATTTAATATACTTTACTGATTCTTCTAAAAAGATAATTTTATTCAATATAGTTGTTTGTTATTTACATTATATTATAATAGTAGTACATAAATAATATATAGATACCTTTTCTAGATTTCAGGAGCGATTTATTTATATTAATGAGGTATCAAACGAAACGGAATTTTATGGAGTAATAAGGAATTCCAAATTCCATCCTTAGTTTTCTATAACAGCTTTAATAAAAGTCACTGAAAAAATAAAACATTATAGAACTCAGAACACTAAAACGTACCATTTTTCGATGTATGCCATAATTCTTGTCGGAAGTCTCTTAAGTGATATAATTGGCATGGCATACTCATTACATATTTCAGTTTTGAAATTAAATATTACTATTCTTAGTAGTGTTGCAAACTAAAAACTAATTGAAAATAAAAATGGATGAGAATAGCTCTATGATCCCTTGGACACGAAGGATAATATAGACAGAAACCTTTTGATAATTTAATCAATAAAAAATATGTGGGTAAGACTTCTATAACCTCAGTAACAGATTTGTGTATTTTCAGTAAGTGAGAGAACTACGGACCAAGGCATTTCAATATAGATGAACCATAAATAAACAAAGATTAATTAGAAAATTAAATAAATTTCCTAAGTATATAATGACCCAGGAATCTAAATTCCAATGTAATTAATCCTTGGCCTACCGAAATTAATTAACTAGCCGAGCGTGTCACGCAGGGTCGAGGTAATAATTTATGATATTGTCCCAAGACCAGTGGGTACTAACTGTTGTGGGAGCTCTTGAGTTTTAAAAGAAAAAAAATTGTACTATAAGGATGTAAAAGTAAATAACACATTTGGTTATGGGTCATTTGTTTAAATAGGAGATGAAAGGAATATAATGAGCAATATTCGTTCCTGGAATCTCAAAGGTATTTTCAAAATTCTTAGAACCAGAAGAATAAGTGAAAAGGTATTTTTCAAACTGAAGTTAAGTTGTGAGAAAGGAGTGTAAGGCGTCCTCGCATAAAATCAACTTGATTTCCTCAATTCCTCTCATGTTTTGCGCCCCTTGGACAATGGTTGTGGTGTACGGAGGGCTATAAGCTGGACAGGACACGAGGTTGAAGAGGCTTATGAATTGTTTTACAAGATTCATTTCCATGATAGCCAGACTCTCTTACGTTTCTTGTTAAAGCTTATCTGCTTTATTATTTTTTTTTTTGTCTCTTTCTTTTTATAGCCATCGGGACCAAATAAATCTCATTACATCCTGCTCTATTCCAGAACTTATTTTACTACGTTCCACAATTCATTCTCTAAAAAAAACCTTGTACCATTTGCAACCCATAAGGGTTTCTTGGTCTATTGTTGTGTAAGGAGTTGATTTGACCGATATCTCGCCCAACTGTCAAATTTATCCCTTTTAATTAATTATTTAATTAAGGTTACCCACTTTATAGAGGTTGGGTGTGCCCGAGGCGGGTCTCCCGAACCCAGGGTCGATCCAGGGCCGGCGTAACAGAATAATCAGTTTATCAGTCGTCAGCCGGATTCGAACTTAGGACCTTCAGCTTTGGAAGTCAGCTCTCTGCCACTTAGCTATTCCACTCTTTCACTCTCTAAATACTGAATCTTAGTATATTGATCTATGAATTCCCTTCCATTGAATCACATTCTTCTGCAAATATTTCATCGTTTGTCCTATTTAGTTATGGAACTTTTTACTCATTTTTATACGCCAATCCTCGTTCACGCATTCTTTTAAGTGATTGTTATTACTCTACATGCCATTATTTATTTATGTAATAAAATTTGTTACGAACAGATTATAGTAAATATCATGTAGGACTAAAGTGCATAGTGTATTGTATTATTCTTATAGGAGACTTTATTCTCAGAATAAAATTATTCTTTCATTCATTAATTAGTTTCGTGACTTTTTGGTTTTCATTTGAAGTCCTCAATCTTCCCAGCACCATACTCCTCTGTTCCCAAACGAGTTATTTTTCTTTTAACAAATACATCATGTTTCTGGAAACTTCTGAGCATGTCTTCACGACCTGCACCGCTTTTGAGTCAATAAGGGCCAAACTACAGGAGGAAATTTGACTCTAAACCAACACGAAGGACGATTTCTCTCAGTTAGCAAGCAAGAATAATTATCGATACTACGTAGCATTCTTGTATGGGTGGAAAGAATTAAAGAGGGTTGATAATTTCAACCTCCTCAATTAATTAGAGAAAAGGATATCTAGAGAAAAGTGGATACTTCTACCAAAAATCCGTGTTGCAGAAAAGGAAAAAAAGGAGAAAATAAATACATATGTGTATTTCTTAATTTTGTTATCTCTATTGAGTAGAGATGACAAAAATTAAGTTTTCTGGAAGACATGAAGGTTAGTTTAGAATCTTTTTAAAACGGTAATTTATAAAGATAGAGAATATAGATATTTCTAAAATAGTTTCATCTCTAAAAAGTATAGGAAAACATTTGACAATTTCAATTTCCTTTTTATTATTATTCAAATATATTCTAGTTCAACTCGATTTAAGAACACTCAACGAAGTCTAATCAAAATTAAACCGTTGGTGAACAATATTTTCAATGGCCTCCCGTAAATAAGTTTACCCATATTTGAATATAGGATTCGAGTTGGATCGTAAAAGGTAGAACTTGGCCATTCCATTTTGTTCGAGTTCTAATAAACCAACTAGCTGACAATTAACGTTGGAATTATTGCCGGCATAAATTCAGAAAAGTTTTCAACACCAGTAATGCACCTTGTGCAATATAAAGTAAAATTTATAGTGAACGATGCCTCGGCTAAATAGGCCCGGTCGTTTCCCATTAATGGTGAAGATTTAAAAAAAAATTATAATTTTACTAATAATAAATTTACTATGATTTAGTCCTTAGAGTTCAGAATAATAAGTTTCAAACTTTTTAGTTTATAAATAAATAAAATATACTCTTCAATAATTACTTATTTACTGAATGAAATATCGCTTCAAATTATTTTTAAATAAAAAGTCGAAAAAATGTACAACAGTTTTCAATGCGTCAGGTATGTTCAATTAAAACCTATGCCATTTAATGTAAATGGTAAATTCACGAGGGATAGATTTTTTAAAAATTATAACAACCTTGTGGCAAAGTCTGGTATAATTCTTTTTTAATTTATTTATTGAGTATTACAACAACCTGTCTCTGGGATATTGGTTATAGTGAGGTAGGATAACATTCACACTATATGTACAAAAAATGTAAAATAAATAGAAGCAGAATAATAATCTAAAGTATATACAATAAATGATAAAATAAAATAATCTAAAAATAAGAAAATTAAAACTAAGTAAAAAAACATGGTATAATTAAAAATAATTTTTAGACAGTTTTAAGTTTAAAGTGTTAAAAAAAAACAACTCAAAACCCGTTTGTGGTTTTGCGTGATTCATGCTCAACTACCGAATTGTACCAAGTACCCTAATCAAGGGTACCCAGTCTCTACAGACTGGAAGTACCCCATGAAATTTTCCCAAGTTCAGAGCAGATCCAACGACTGATGTGACAGAATAGATAATTACCTACCAAAGTTGGCCTTGAACATTGTAGAGTAGGAGAACAGTGCCTTACTGAGCTATCTTGCTCCTAATCTTTGAGTTTTTATAATTTTAGAACCCATACAAACGTGGAATCTCAGAAGCATGATTTATAAAAACGTCTTAATTAAACATGACAAATATACATGATTTACAAATATGACTACATAATTAAAAAATTCAATGACTTTCGTTTAAGTATTTGTAGCAAAGAATATTATATAACAATTACAATTTTTTTGAGTTCTACCAATGGGTAGTTTCTCTTCATGTTGTACATGTCATGTTACCAATTTCTCATTTACTTATTGTATTCTCTATGTAATACAGTTGTAAAATAATAAAAAAAAATTACAATTTTAACTAAAATAATCATACAGCTAGAAAAGAGACAAAAAGTGATTATGTTATAAATGGAAAAATCCAAATTATAAACCAATGAAATTATAAACGGTCTCCAACACACAGAGAACAGCCTACCAACCTATTTTTCGTCAGGAACCTTCCGAACAGAAAAAAAAAACATGACATGTATTTGGATTTTTCCATTTATAACATAATTACAATTTTAACCTTAAGTCTGTAATATATGTAAAAAAAAGGATAATTGTGTTATAAGAAATGGTAAATATGATTTTTATATCATAACTCTGATATTCATATGAAAATAACATTTTATTAAAGCTTGAGTGATCTACGTAACCAATTATAGATCCTCCAACATGAGGCCTTAAAGATTGACTCCAAGACCCATAATAGCGAGGAGGTCAAGGGCGTAGGAGCGCCATAGAGGAAGGAAGCCATAGGCATCTCCAATAATGGAACAGCCAACTTGAAGTCTTGGATAAAAAATAAAATAAAAAAGGAGGAAGAGTTTCTTTGGCCTTGGTTAGGCAAACCCACCAGCCCTTACTTCTTTCATAATTGAATAAAGATAATATTTTTACTTTATTTTTTGAGTTATTCAACTTGATTTCATTTTGAAAGGAGGAAATACAGTATAAAAATGCCAGACAATATTTTAAAGGTTTATCCAGAGATTTCTTTTTTTATTTCTATGTTTCATTAGCAGAACATGGGATGTATAATAGTCCCACGAATATCCGTTGGGGGGAAACATAAATCTCATATTTGTAAAGGAAATATTTGTAGTGTTCCTGTGGGAGGTAAAAAAAAATTCTGCTCATAACCGAAAAGTTCCACTTGCGGGTTGGTTTTTAGACAACATGGAACGAAATTGGTTCTGTTTATGTCTGTTTTTAGTCAAATACAAATTACATGCATATCACCAACTACTTATATTCCGATTTTTATAATTTTTTTAGAGTGCGTTTTATAACTTTTTTTCATCCTACCGATAATAATTTGTTTCCGTTTTCTGGATAATAAACGACATACTATCCTAAAAATAAAAATTATTGTTTGAAATTTTACGTATAACGCGTGGTGTTTATTACTAAGTAGCCAATTCCTGTTTAGTTTTCTTTTTATTGGATACTTGAGTTGGAAAAAATAGCGTGTGAATTTGAGTTGCAACTCAACTGTGATTGAGCTAACAACGTGTCAGAAAGATGTGGTGGGGACTGAAGATACGACAAGAATTTAGATAACCTAATACTTTATTTCCTTGTAATAACATAATTATAACAGCTGAAATGAGTAAGATAGAGTAAGGAAAGAAGCAATAACTAATGAGGAAACGCCATCAAATCATCAAAACAGTCCACCCATTGTTTTATTGTTTATTTATAAAACATCCTCCAGTTTTCTTTGAATGCTGAATCTCTTAACTTGGAATAATTATAGGTCATTTTTCTAGTGTTCTTCTGAGACATTTATTCTAAGCGAAGATGGATCGGATGCCTTCGACAGAGCCGAACTATCGGACGCCGAAGCATCGCAAGAATGTGATTTAAGCGCTGACTGTGAAAAGCAATCTCCATGCGAGAGGACGAAGAAGTCGAGCCCACGACTGACGGCTATTAATCTCAATCGAGGAAAAGGACTTTCAGAAAAGAAGGACCTTCTTTGTGGAAAAACGACGGAAAAACCTGTCGTCGTTAAATGAAAAGTGGCATCTTCCCACTCCCTCTTCTCGCTTTAGCCTCACAAATATATTGATATGTTTTCGTTTACTCTAATCGTAATTGGGATTAAAAATACAAATATATCATTAATTTATTATTTATTCGTGTCTACTGGCGGATACACGGCTTCAGCCTCAAAACCTTCTAAAAAAAGGCACATTTTTGAGGGAGGCACATTTTTACGTTTTTATATTTTTGGGAAGGGGGACACATTTCGACGGGATTATACATTTTTGAAATGAAAAGTTTCAAATCTGGAGGTAGGAGGAAAGCATAGAACAAACCAATGAAAGTGTAATTGCATATGACCTATGATTCTTAAAATTATACTTTAGCTTGCACTGTTTTAAGAAGATAAGAGCAATAACATATCTTGGAAGAAAGGGGGGGAGAGGTTCAGGTGCCATTGCCGTTGGTGGAGGGGGAGATGGGTAGTCCTGCTTACTGGTTTTGTTTTGACTTAAGACATCCTAAAACTGTTGACTGGAGGTATCAACATTATTGGTAGGCTTTCTTTGTTTATTTGGTATAGAACTCGGATTACAGTTATTACAGGTTGTTACTGATTCTCCCATTTTCCCACAACGAAAACAGAATCTTCTTCTAGGTTGCTCACAGAGAGAAATGGGATCTACTGCAGTTCCAGTTGCACTGTACAATTTTTATGTTCTAGAGATATGGCAGTTTGCTGATATTCAAAAGCTGTGTTGGGAAAAAATACTAATGGTATGATTTAATAACAATTAATTAAATAATGTACACATAATAATGATGATACTAATAAATTTTGAACTATATTTATTTTCACACTAAATCATAATACTAACTCGGCTCCACATTAATCTCAATGAATGACCAACGGGCAGAAATAGACTAGCGTTTAACTAGCGGAAACAGAGCTTTCTTCTCCCTCTCAAAGGTAATGAAATTTTGAAAAATATCAAGAAATCTCAAATGCTATGATAATACATGGCTGTGAGACCTGGACACTAGCCAGCACCCTAGAAAAAGTGTTAAAAGATTTAGGAGGAAATCCTCCTCACGGTAACCGGAGCGATCTGGGATGAGAGTACCCCTAGGTTGAGAATAACACACGAGGAAGAAAGACCAATAAAGAACTGCCGACATAAACAGAATATGAAGGTATGGATATTAAGATGGGCGGGGCATGTAGCTCGTAGCAATCCATATGAAAGCCTCTACACAACTATGGATGCCTCAATAGAAGGCAAAAGACCACGTGGAATGCCAAACAGCAGATGGATAGGTAGAATCAACAAAGATGCAATAGAGCTGCGTGCAGATAAATGGAGAAAAATATCATAATACTGTTCTTGCTGTTTGCGTAAATTTAAACGATTGATTCAATAGGCAACACTTTATTTTATCCGTTCATAAACGTTATCGTTGAGGCTACTTAACTTTTAAAGAATGAAAAGGTACGCTGTATTATTTATTACAGATTGTAATTTTTTTTTTTACAATATATGTTTAACAAACACTTATCGGCTCCTTTCGGATACAAAAGTTGGAGGACCTCAGAAAAAAATAAATTAAAAATAAATATATGTACCTCTAAAACCCATGAAATGTCTTGGGTTCAGTGCATTATAAAGAAGTACTGTTTCTAGGTCAATGGTTGTGTAGAGAGGTCACTGAGATTTATTTATTTCAATCATGTTTATTTAGTTCGATTAATCGCCTATTTTTTTCTCTTAATTAATTATTTCAATAAGAGTATTAGCTTTATAGAGGCTGGGTGTGTACAAAGAGGGACCATCCGCGGCTGGTAAACAGAACAAATAATAATCTGCTAAGAATTCTGGACCTTGAGCTTTAGATCACACTGCTTTACTCACTGAGGAGTACCCCCTTAGATGAACTATGGGTTTTTGAAATTAGAAACCCTTTAGACGACATTTTTTAATTATCACATATTTAACCGTAAAATCTTACAATAAATTATGTTTTCGAAATATATTTTTGACAGCAATAATTCATCTTTAGTAAATGACGAAGTGAAATTACTCGTGAAGTACTATGAATATAGATATAATAGAATGTGATAAAAAAAATAAAACATTTATATAACTATTTGTATCTGGAACTAGAAACATTATCGAACTAAATAAATAAAAACGATACCTGTACTAAAACCGGAACAAATTAAGCGTGTTATAAGTTATATTAATTATAAAATTATCTGCTGGGTCAACAAGTGATGAATAATTATGAAGATACAGTTTCTTCATAAAGCTACAATAGACTAATTAATTTGATTGTTATCAGCAAACAGTGAAAATAAATTAAGTTTTGGAAGGAGCTACTGATTCTGAATTTAATTATGGGATCTGATGGCCGATTTAGGACTTGGCCAAAACTTTACTAACTCCTAAATTAAAATATAACAGACCCTGTTCCAAAAATCAAAATTAATTCTTAGAAGCTTCCTTACCTTTAACCTTTCAGAGGAAGCTTGAATGTATTGAAATACCTGTTCTAGGCAGCAGGGCTTACTCAGCCTGAGCTTAGCCCTCAACTGTTCGATATATTTTTATTTTAAATTAGATGTGAAAAAACTTTTTTTTTCTCTAGGGGAGTTTAACTTCTTAATATTTCTGCTACGTGTTCCAAGAAGCATTATTCAGGGGGCTGATAAATAAGAACTCCAGAATACTTCGCTTTCTGAAAGACACTTTTTTCATAAACCGCCTTATACATTAGGATTGGCGATAGTTTGACTACTATTAGTAGCATTAGCTTCGATTATATCGATAAGCATCTATCGATACCTTAACGATCGAAAAAAATCCCTGGGAGGATAGGGTATTAAAAATCCTCCTATTCCAATTCCATTCACAATACAGCCACATAACGGCTTACCATTTACTATGTAATAGTGCTTTATCCTCAGTATTCTCGTATTACTTATCACTAGAGACTCGATTTCTATGTTATTGCGTTTTTATTCGCTTGCGTGTAAAAACTCCGGACCCGAATATCTTTCCGTTTCAGGAACTGTAGAATAACATTTTTAAATTTTATATTGCACGAAATTATTGCCGTTTTTGGCTTAAGTTGCACGATGTTGGTTATTGTTGCATTAAATTACACATTTGTGTACTTTTGTGCTAAATTAGAAGAGTTATGAATACAAATGTATAAGTGAGTGTGTTTATTTTACTATATTTTTAAAATTAAGGAAGGCAAATAATTCTGTGTAAATCAAAAATCGTATTCATTACAAAAGGAAGAAGTAGACGCTAGTGAGATCTATTCTTGGAACAGAACTTACATAATGTATTGGATAATAAAAAGTTGCTTTCCTAGAATTAGCTGCTTTGTTAGTGTGGGTGGGGTGGCCGAATGGGCTAACGCATGTGCACAGCACCCCTGTTGTCCCACAACATGATATATGATACAAATGATAAAAATTAGTCACAAGATCGCGTCCTGGTGCCGGAGGAGTCTTTTAAATCCCCTCTCACATCCCCTGACTCGGGAAAACCCCGTATAGCCTTAAAGGCGAGGAAGGGGAAGACCCCCCCCCCCCTAAAAAAAGCTGCTTTGTTAGTAAGGCATTTATAGTTATTGTTTTGGTTTGATAGCTCACCTTTCAACCCTTCAGTATCTCTTCTGGCTTTGAATGCATTTGTAGAAATTTCAATCTTATCAATAAAAAAAAAATGATAATGCTGAAAGTAAAATCTAGTTTTCCGTCAAAAATTAAAATCTGGGTATAAAAATACCTCGATTTGACATGTGAGGACAAAGAATTTGATGAGAAAGTTCTATATATCTTATTAAAAATCAATTATGAAAATCACTGATAGTAGCTCATTGGGAAACATGTAAGAAAAAGATATTCTTATTAAGTAATTAAATTTTTTTTTGTTAAGAAAGAACGCATTCGCCAAAAATAATTTTTTTAGTGATATAGAAAAACAGCTTCAAAACTAATACTTGAACACTTGAAAATCTCAAACATTACAGTATATTTCAAAAATTTTGTAAAATCCTTTAAATTTTAACAAAAACGTTTTGGAATGTATAATATTGGAAATTTCTATTCTATTAAAAAAATTTAATAGGTAATCTCTCGGTTAACTCATGATCTGATAAGACTTCGATGTATTAATGTTCTAAATTAAACATTATTGACGATTTTACACGTTTTAAGTGTTAATCACACATTTTTACGTATTTTGTATTTTTACTTCACGATTTAGCACAATTTGAGGTTTTTACTGCTCGTTTTCCGGATTTTTCACTGCACGAAAATCTGGTCTCTACTTATCACCTTGTATATTGTGATATATTTCATATAATTTTTATTTCATAGTTAGTAGTTTTATATCAGAAAGATTCTATGTTTTTCATGCTATCTTTGTATTATTTTTGTTATGTGCGATTTAATTTTTATTGATCTAGCATCAATAAATCCTAATGTATTTTATTCGATATATACATGTATGTATGTACAGAATATGCATCTACTTTTTCTTTCACTTTACTGTACGATTGTATCGTCATTTTATTGCAATAAGTCACTAAATATATTTTCTATGAAACTGAACTTTTAATAACGTTTATATGATTTTCGAACTTATATATTGTTAAAAAAATGACGTAAATCATTTTATATATCAAATACAGTTACAATCGCAAAATTTTCTGAATTTAGAAAGGGATATACCTTGTAATATATATATTTAAAAAAAAATATTTTATTGAGAAAAAAAAAATTTTGCCTCAATTAAGTGCATTGAGTATTTAAGATGAATGAAACACAAACATACCATATATACAATAAAAGAAAAACAAGATTATAAAAAAATAAAATAAAACTTGGAATAACAGAATAAATCAAATATGAGACAAAAATAAATAAATAAATAAATAAAGGTTCATGCTTATTTAAAATATAATTACAGTCAGCCGAGGGAGCTCCGAGTCGGGCTTTTTCTCCCACGTGTGGAGGATAAGATAAGACTCCAAGAAATCCCAGCGCTTCTCTTTAAGCCGTATCACTACGATTGAAGTATAATTTAAATAACAGAAGTAATTTTGTTTTTTTTGTTGTTTTTTGTTTAGACTTTGTCCTCATCTATTATAGAAATTAATTTTTTAATATTTCTTCCTATCTATCCAATTTTTTTTTCTAAATAATGATTATTTCGTTTCATTCTTCTTTTGTTTTTTATATAATGGTAAGGTTGTATTTTTTTTTGTATTGGAATGTTAGTTTTATTACGGTTTTTTTATTTTATTTATTTATTCATTTAATATAACAGATCTTCTGGCAGGAAGTATTTTGTTTTACTACTCTGTTAATCTTTAAGGACTCAGTCCCCGAATACAATTTTCCTGTCTTCAATGATTTGTTAAATTAGAATTTCGATAGGGCGATCCATCGATATTTTAGCATGCACTCTTGTGAAATAGACGCCACAGCTAAACGAGATGCTGTTACCCTAGGTGACATCTAGCGCCCGAAGTGGCGATAAAGGACAAGACGACAGCCATATATTCTCCAGAGGCCATTGGTTATATAAACAATGGTAGGACATAGAGCGCACTCGTGTTCCTGACTTAAGGGCTCCTGAATCAATTCCTCCCGAGAAGGGAGTACTATTTCACGTCTAGATATAACGTACGGCCGCTGGCGTGGCCGTGTACTCGATACCTAGCCCACTCCGGGCATGTACTCGATGTAGGTTCTCTTCCAAGAGTCATGACCTAGGCCTCTCCAGCAACAAGTCGCTAACTCCCTTCTTCGCTAAGCTCCGAGGAAATTGGCCACTTACAGCTTTCCTTTTTTTTTTTTTTCTCCAAGGGGTAGAAATTCCGTTATCCTCTTTTTCTTTATTAACTCGACTTATCTTTGTTTTGAAAGAACAGTAGGGAATCTGTTTTGAAAACTCTTAATTATTGTAAAGATTTAAAAACTTTACGATTGTTATTTTCTTCCTTAAAGGTGAAGAAAAACATTCGTCTTTAACAATTAGATTCATTTAGAATTTACCAAATTTATTTTTGTGACATCTATGGGTAGTGTATTAATTGTAAAAGTCATACTTATGGAAGAACGTTATTAAAAGTTTAGTATTTTCGTAAGTGCAAGTTTAATTTTCGAAATTCAACCTGTAATTCACAGAGGAATTCTTATCTCTGTAATAGCCACATAACTTGGCCCATTAGACAAAAAGAAAGAGAGAAAAATCGCTTTCTAGTAACACCCATAAAATTCACAATATTGCACTTAGCACATTTTTAACAGATGCCGCAGATTTAGTTTCGTATATTTTTTAATACATTTTTTTAAAAACTATTTATTCAAGATATTTACAACTGTATTACAATATAAATACATCAAGTAAATGTGTACATAAGAATATAATCACGTGAAAACGCTTGTTGAAAAACTACCCACAGGTAGCACTCTAATAATATGTCTACATAAGGAAATCACGAGGCCATCTTTTTTTCAGACGCCTCGGGGATTTATCAGAATTCGAAGAGGAAACAAGGTTAAAAACGAGAGGATTCGGATGGTTATGAAGTTTATTATGGAAGGATAGGTATCTGGATTGGGCCAAATCGGAAACATAAGGAACATTAAGGTCATTATGGATTATTTTATTTGTGACAAAGTAAGGAGCATTGAGGATTTTGGATTGTAAGGATTGGATACGAGGGGAATTTGATGGTTTAGTGGAGCCCCATATCTCAACTCCGTTTTAATACATTTAATTTCTGATTAATAATTTCAAAAATACCAATGCATGTATGTTGTTTTTTGTAACATTATAATTATGAGTTATTACGATAATTATTTAGCTGGAACGAACAAAAAAAATAAGATAATTAAGAAAAAAAGGAAAAATAAGAAAATATATTTTTTTTCCAAATGGCGGCAATTCTGGTGGTGGGATACAATGGAAAACATGGATTTTTAAACATTTTGCCGACTCAGAAAACATATCAACTGCTACCTCAATTTTTTCAAACATTTCTGACCCTTGGACGGACTATTTTGATACTTGAATTTATTGTTATTACTTGCTACCGTTCATATAATTGTTTGAATAAGATCAAATACAATAATCATATATTAATACGCATTTTGAAATAAAAAGTTAATAATAAAAGTTAACAAATAGTTTCAATAGATACGTATAAAAGTATTTAGACTATGGTGTATAGATACGTAATATGATGGTTTGTTTGAAAACAGGCAAATGAAAAGCTCAACACGTTACATTGAACAGTGTTCCATTTTAATTATTAATTAATTTATTTTATTTTCTGTTACATTGGTGCATTGTAAAAAAAAATAAAGCACATATAAGAGTCTAAATAACAATTACACACTTAAATATTTAAAGATTTTGTAGACACAATTTTCTTAAATATATGATTTTTTTAAAAATATTAATTGATCTTTATACATATATCTTTTAGAATATTAGATAAGTTTTCACATTATTTACTAAATATTCTTTATTCAACTATTGATTCATGACAAAATTTATAGGAAGGAGATAGCTTATGTAAGTTTTTATTGAATTACGGTAAAACGAGACAAATATATAAGTATACATTTAAGTTAATATTCTTTGTTAAATATTTATTTAAATATTGTTAGTTAATAACAATTATAAAACGTTTCCCCTGTATATAACTGGACTTTAGTAACCGTAGGTGTCCTGTTGTTACTGGGTAGAATATTGTTCGTTATCTAACCACTTCAATGTCCTTTCAACAGATCACTGCCCACGTTCAGCCATTCATTAATTGTTTGGCTATTACAACTACTAGCAATAGAGTTGGTAATATTTATGTGATAAAACAGTATATAGCGAATTGAAGTTTATTCCATAATTAGCGCGAATATAATATTAACAATTTAAAACACAGAAGTTAACTGAACAATCGTTTTAGGGACAAAAATCACACATTTAAGTCTCTGAATATGAGCAGGATAACTCAGTTATTGATGGGCAAACTCGGAGAGATGATTTCAGACCAAATTTCCAACTAAAAAGTTTATTTCATGCATGTTCCGATTCCAAATATAAAAGGAGTTAAATCCATTTTTGGGTTTTCTTAAAGTGTTCATTTTCTTTATTTCATAGAAAGCGATATCACAAAAGTTAATTTAGATGATAAGATATCTATGTAAAAAACAATGGTTTATTATCATCACCTAATATGCTATTTAAAAAAAAAAACACGTATTTTTTTATGTACAAAAAATGTTGATAAATCAAGTTACAAAAATTCCACGATTTTATAAAAAACAAAACAAAAAATCTGGTGTGTGCACTCACACGACTTTCCTACCTATTTCAGCAAAGTTTTATATCTTTACATATGTCCATCAAGAAACAAAAACAAATTGAATTAGATTTATTTTCCTGAAAATTGATCAAAGAAAAGATTTGAGTACGATTTATTCGATAAACTAAAGGAATGTAAACCGGCTTAAGGTAGATCAGTGTGAAAATTTCAATATCCTCTAATATTGCTGTTTCTGTTAAAAGTAGATGAAATTGTGAAACTTGTGTGATGTGGGCAACAGATTTCCTTACTTCCACTTAGTTATCTTTTTTTCTCTCATTCACCCCTTTCTGACACCAAGATATGAACCCGTAATCTTACATTGGAAATTGAATACCTGTAAATTCGTTAATAGGTGTCCGAAATGAACGATTTTTATATAGTTTTGTAGGAAAGTAATAAATTAAAATAGAATATGCTGTATCATAGCTAATATTGGTTCGATTTCGATGATTTTTTGTTTGTTTTGCTAGTAAATTAATTACCTTTCAAAAGTCTTATTGTAAATTTTAACATAGAATACGTACTTAGCGAGTTAGGCCCCAAAACATTTTTCTTTTCTTTATAACCTTTTTTCCTGAATTTTCTCGGAAATTTAGTTCATATACTAAAATTGAAAGGACAATTATTAGAACAGTATAGGAAAGTTTCATCAAAATCGTTGTAGCCGTTTTTCAGCTACAGTCTATAGAAAAACATGTTTTTCATTTATTGCGCATGGAGCATCCAATTTGTGTAACAGGCATCAGTAGTCAAAACCCTACAAAATAAAAAAAGAAGCAACAAAATCGGTTCAGTAGTTTCCGAGAAAATCTTGGCACATACAGACGGACAGACATACCAGTGCCTAAAAATGTGTTTTTCGTAATCAGGGGGCTCTGAAACGTACAGATCAGTCAAAAACGGCATATCGGAAATTTGACCCGATTACAATAATTTCCTTACCTTAGTAAATATAAGTAAAAAGAGAGATTCTACTTGTATTCGAACGAAATATTTTCTCGTTTACTATAAAGCAATTTTGAATTACCCAAATTAAATAATTTTTGTGCTATCGCTTCCTATAATAGAAAATAAGTAATCACTTTAAGAAGGCACAAAATTGTGTTTAAGTTAACAAGATAAGGTTCTATTTTGCTGTAATACTCACGGTGAATAAAACTTATCATCTTATTGTTAGTTAGTTTACTTTATATTTGACCTCTTATTATTTTAAAATAATATCTAATTGTAATGTTTAATTTTTAATATATTATCTCCTACTTTATTTTAAGGCAAAATGTTGTATTGATTAATGTTTAAACACTGTTTTGGTTTAGTATAATTTAATCATTTTTTGGTGAAGAGGCTGCATTTACAACTTGGGATTACTTAAAATATAACAGCCCATGCTTTCAAATACCGAAAGTGCTTTACGATTCTAATAATTATTAAAGTTGTTTTAGAAGGCTGTTCGAGGAAAACGAAAAACCCATTTAAGGGCTTAACTGGCTCAGTACGTAAGCTCAACGAGAGCTGTGTGCTTTAAATACAGTTATTTCCTCATACTTATTATCATATTCCATATTACATGACTACTGTACAGATATATTCATACACATACAATTTATAATATGTTGTGAAGGATACTCTAAGAAGCAAATTTTCATAATTTGGTACAGTTATCCCTATCTATTTTCGCTACTTTGGCGGATCTAAATATTTACATGACACCTCTAAAACATGCTGCTCTTATTTTCGCTATTTCTACGCCGAGAAGCGGTATTACATTTCCTATTATTCGAAAAAAATCCAATAATCCGAATCCTGTGGTAAACAGAACAAGTATAAAAATAAGTTAAAGTTGACTAATGAGAGATGGAATGGAATTGGTTCTGTTTCTCAGTATGTGTTACTGGAATTGCTGTGTGTGTTGAAATCGTATAGTGGTGTCTCTTAACGTAAAACATTAGTGTCAATAAAGGGTAACTTAATTCTTAATGGCCAAATTTTGGGAGGTTATTCAAGATAAAATTTCTAACGAAAAAGTTCATTTGATGCATGTGCCGATTTTTAACGGAAGAGAAGTCAAATCCAATTTTGTATTTTCTTGAGGTGGTCAAGTTTTCTCTTTTATAGAAAGCAATTGCAAAAAACTATTTGATTTTTTTAGTTAATAGTCGCTTCATAGAAAACTAGGTAAATAATAACAAGGCTTAGCGAAGGTTCGGTGCCGATATCAACAATCGATGTTCGCATTCTTCCATCTACCGGGCTCCGTCTAAACCCAATCCTGCCAGATCAGCCTTAACGCAATCTTCCCACTTCCGCTTTGGTCCACCCCTCAGGCGCTTGCCAGTCGGTACAGCTCATATTAACTTTTTAGTAATTCTTTCGTTACTAAGCCCAGCGATTTTACAT